CTTCATTTCACGGGGGTCCCTGGGAGCCAGCGCGGAGCACAGACCAGGGCTACCCACCGGCAGGGGTGTTTAGGCACCAACACCCCTAATGCTTAACTCCCACGGCCACTGGGTGAGGGGTGTTCTCGAGGCCAGAGGAAGCCTTCAGCTGGGAATGAGATGCTGGCAGCTGGAAAGCAGGGTGGAGTCAGGCAGGAGGGGACCAGTGGAAGGGCCCCTGTCTCGTGTCTCCAGGGAGCCCAGCCCTGACCTGCCCCCTCCGCCACCCTGCAGGGAAGGCCACACGTCCATCGTGAAGGAGCTGAAGGAGACGCTCGGTGCAAAGCCGGGGGCCATCGCGCTGTCCGTGGGGGGCGGCGGCCTGCTGTGCGGAGTGGTCCAGGGGCTGCAGGAGGTGGGCTGGGGGGACGTGCCCGTCATCGCCCTGGAGACCACGGGAGCCCACAGCTTCCACGCTGCCACCTCTGCGGGCAAGCTCGTCTCTCTGTCCCGGATCACCAGGTGAGCGGCGGGGGGGGGCGGGGGGGGGGGGCTCCACGCAGGGTTCAGCAAGCCGTGGGGACTCCCCCTCGGGGCTGGCTGCCAGGCAGATCCGGATAACCCATTGTACAGCTGAGGGGACTGAGGCTCGGTTCACTGGCCCAGAATCACAGAGCCAGGGAGTGGTCCCGCAGGGGACGGAGCCCAAGTCTGGGTGACTCTGCACCATGAACGTCACACTTCCTCGAATGCCAATCACGTATCGAGCTTCTGTGCAGCAGGGTCTCGCACTTTTCATTCATCTGCCCACCGTTTACTGAGCCCTGATGCGGGGTGGCCACCGGCTGGTCCTGGAGACAGAGGTGGATCCACACAGCTCCTGCCGCCGAGGAGTTCACACCCTAGCCCCAAGTCTTTGGCATGCGGTGTTTAACCAGCATTAGTTTTGGCTGCTTTATACAGGAATCCAAAAAAGCAGCAACTTAAAATTGAATTTTATCTCCTCTCTTATTAAAAACAAAATCTAGAGGTACACCATCCAGGGGCAGCTCCATGAAGCCAGGGGCCCAGGCTCCTCCCTGAGTTTGTTCTCCATCATCCTTACTATGTAGTCTCGGGGGCCAACATGGCTGCGTAAGTGCCAGCTATCACACCCACATTCCATCTGGCAGGGAGGAGGAAGCAGGGCCAAAGCTATGCCCCCTCCCTTTAAAGACACAGTACTTCCACTTACCACTCATTGGCCAGAACGTAGTCACATGGCCACACCTGCTGCCAGCCCCTGGGACTTTTCATTGGTTTAGGGCTGCACAAGGAATGCTCATCCCCATGCCCACGACCCCAGTTCCTCCTCCTCTCCCACTCACACCCGAATTTCTCTCTCTCCCTCCCCACCCTGGCCCCCATCTCCGTCCCCTCTCCTACCTGTTCCCCCTACTCCTGTTTCCCACGCCCCGCCCCAGTGTTGCCAAGGCCCTGTGTGTGAAGACTGTGGCGGCTCAGGCCCTGAAGCTGTCTCAGGAACACCCCATTTTCTCAGAAGTTATCTCGGACCAGGAGGCTGTGGCCGCCATTGAGAAGTTTGTGGGTATGTGTCCAGTCCTTGCAAGACCCTACCCTCTGGCTCAGGAGCTGAGGGGCTGTCCTGGCCACGTGGTACACCCAAGGCTCCCACCGCTGCAAGTTTAAGGTCTGACTCCCACCCATTCCTGGTAACTTCCCATGGAAGATACAAAGCAGCAGTAAAAATAGAAAGGGCAAAGGCACAAATGAAGAAGTAAGCCTGATCACCATGACAACAGAAAACAACTATTTTAAAATATTGGTTCTGAGCTTCCTGGCAGCCAGGGTGAAACAGGAAAGTCTAGGCCTCAGCGATGGATTCAGAAGTGGGTCTGTAACTAGGTTGGACATTTTCTGAGTTCAGCCTAGGACAAAGATGGCATACACATCCACACACTGTAGCATTTAGGCTGCCACTGAATCCTCCTGCACCAGCGTCAGTTTGGCCCATCGACCTTGCCACTCTCGCTCGGCTGTTGCCTCAGAATTCTTCTCCACCCACTGCTCAGGCCCCTGCAGTCACTTTATCAGTGTTAGCACTCATGACGGAGCCTGCCCTGGCTCAGGGCTGGGAAGGTCCACCCAGGATCATGATGGGAGGAGCTGAGTCTGTGGCCAAGGCCAAGGGCCTGACAGCAGATGGGCTTTGAATCCCCAAGAATCCCCACGCTGCACCCTGCGCGCCCGGGGCCCTGCCCTCACCGCCCCCTCCACCCCTCCCCCCGCAGATGACGAGAAGATCCTGGTGGAGCCCGCCTGCGGGGCAGCCCTGGCGGCGGTCTACAGCCGCGTGGTTCAGAAGCTGCAAGGAGAGGGGAAGCTCCGCAGCCCCCTGTCCTCCCTCGTGGTCATCGTCTGCGGGGGCAGCAACATCAGCCTGGCCCAGCTGCAGGCCCTCAAGACACAGCTGGGCATGAAGGACGAGCCGCCGAAATGAGAGTGCTCCCCTGCGCGCCTCCCTCCGCCGCCTGGGGGCCCCTGGAGGTGCTGGGGTTCCCCCCCCAAGTGCCACGCTGTACACACTGTTCTCGTGTCTGGCTGGGGGCCTGCGGCCGAGTCGGTCAGCGCCTCCTTGCGCCCCCAAGGCCACTGTGTGGAGGGGCCGGCGCTCCGAGGTGGAGGCGGGAGTCGGCAGCCAGTGGGGCTGCGGACTGAACCCCTGCTATTGGCGTGACTGCCCTGTGACGGTCCCCAGCCACCCCTGCCGGGGTGACAATCGCCCACGTGTAACATGTCAGGCTCCCAGAGCAAGGCGGGTGGGAGGGACCAAGATCACAGCACCAGGCCACCCCTCGGATGGAGGTGTCCCTGCCCCGGCCTTTCAACCTGGGAAGATGGGCGAGGCCACCGTCCAGGGCTGAGGGGCCTTCTTGTCTCAAAGCCCACCCTCACTCGTTTTTCTAATGTGCAAACATTTTCGTTGGAAAAGGAAAATATGTATTTATGAAGCAAAGATCCCTCGAGTTTTTCCATCATCGCTGTCTTCCTCCCTCCCCTCACCCGTCATGCCTGCTCCAGCCCCCCTCTCAGCAGTGAGCACCCCCAACCTCCACCCCCACCCCCAGAACCCCTGGGGCCCCACACGGAACTCAAGACCCCCACCCGCGCTGAGCTTGCGTGTCAGGGGGCAGGAAGTTGGGGAGGGAAGTGGCACTGGACGGGGGGCTCGGGGACGAGGGCTGCCCCCAGGGAAGGCAGATTTTTTCACAGAACCACTGGGAGCTGAGTAGTGAGCCCCCCATCCCTGGGGGTGTGTAAACCCAACACTGGACAATCATCTCGGGAACGGGGAAGGGGTGGATGTGAAGTCAGGGTCAGGCGGACCCTCTGGAAACACGAAGCCCTCTCCTCCAAGGTGTTCTGAGGGCAGCATATAACACAGAGGAGTCTGGGAGAGGACCCCCTCTCTCACCACCACCCACAGCAGCCACTGGGCACTTCACTAGATGCCGAGTTCAAAGTGAAGCCTGAGACCAGTTTGACCTCTCAGGGCACCCCACGATGAGCCAGGCTCGCAGAGCCCCTCACCCCAAGAAAGGGCAGAAGCTGTGAGGTTTTAGCGGGGGAGCGGAACACCACCCCAAGCCACAGGGCCACCAGCCTGCCTACTGATCTCCACATGCACCGTGGACTCCCAGGGGATGGGACATCAAGGACAGGCTGGCAGGGACACGAAGGAAACCATCAGCCCTGCGTGCGGCTCCAGAACTGTTCCGGGGAGAGGGGAACCGCAGCGGCACCCAGTCCGGGAAGACCTGCTCCGGGCAGGGCGGCTTCCAGCTCCTGCCATCCCACCCGGAGCGGGCACGGACCCCCCACGAGATGAGGCAGACACCTCCGCCCACGAGCAGAGGGGCCGAGGCACTGTGGGCTGGGGCTGAGGGGCGGGCTGGACCCTTGTCCGTTGGGCCGGGCAGAAGTCCCCGGTGCAGGCCGGCCGCTGCTCTGCTGCAGCGGAGGGCTACGGCAAAGTCCCGGGGCACAGGCCCTGAAAGCGGCTGCCTTCCTGGCAGCCTCCGCCCTGCTGTGGCTGGGTCAGTGGGAGCCCCCCTGGGAGACCGTCTGCAGGCGCCCACAGTCTTCAGAATCACCCCGGCTGCCCGACTGCCCCCACCTCCCAGGAAGCAGAAGGGGCCCGAATGGTTCTGGGGAATGGACCAGAGTCGCCACTTCTGCAGCACGGCCCTGGGGGACCCCCCCTCCAGGCTCCCCACCTGGCTCTGCTCCCTGCAGACCACCCACCCACACCCACGTGCCTGCTGTGCTCCTCTCGGGCTGACAACCTCTCCTACGTAAACTTCCTAAGAGCAGGGACGTGTCACAGACCTTTGGTCACAAAGTCTCCACGGGCCTCACCACAGGGCCCGGTCCGCACTAAGTGACCGGTGACACCCACTGGTCCTCGCAGGCCGAGTGTGCGAGGTCCCGCGTAGCTGCGTCACAGCCGCCACTGCGCACAACCTCACCGCGCCATGCTCCCCCGTCCGGCGAGTGTTGCTCGCACCATCACCCCATTTTACAGAGGAGGAGACCGGGGCTGAGGGGGGCTGGCTTCCGTTGCTGGTAGGAGATGGCGACAGGATGCGAACCCAGGTCTCTGACCCAGGGCTCCATGCTGTCTCCAGTGGGCACAAGGGGCGAGCCTTGTCTTCAGCGCAGGCTTTCGGGTATGAACAGACCGGGGGGTGGGGCTCTGTTTTGCGTTGATCTGTGCCCCGCAGTAGGACTTGGGAAGGCCTTGTGGTTAACAGGGTCCTGGGACAGCACCCAGAACAAAGTGGGAGCTCCATAAGCATATGGAAACATGGCTGGATGGGTGGATGGACAGGTGGACGGACAGAAGGAAGGGCAGGAAGACACATGGGAGGACGGTGCAGACCCCAGTCTTGCAAGGAGAAAAGGCACGGCCCCAGCTTCCCCCACTGCCCCAGGAAGACGCACAGCACAGAGGCCATGGCCTCGGCCTCTCCCGTTTAATGATGTCACGGCCTTCAACTTGGTGCCCCCAGCAGGGGAACTGAAGGCGCTGGCTGCCTGAAGCCGGGGGCGAGCCCAGGCAGGGGCGGGGCGTGAGGCTGGGACTGGGGCGGACCTGCCTCCTGTCTGCCCCGGGGCCAGCCAGCGAGGACACTCAGGCCCCTCCAGCCACAGGTCGCCAGAACCTTTGGTTTTTGTTTGTTTTCCAGTTTCTGTCCTTGAGAAAGCTGTCCAGAGGGGTGACAGGGGGCCGCTTCCTAAAGGGGCGGAGGAGCTGGGGCCGGAGGAGGAGACGCCAACCACAGGTAACGCCCAGGGCTCGGGGCTGCAACCCCACCAGTTCCAGAGCCACCGGCAACAGGCCCAGAACATGTCCCTCCAGCACCACTGGGGGCCCTGACCCTGATCCCTCAGGGGGGCGGCCTAAGGATGGGGCCCCAGGGTGGGAAGCAGAGGGAGACAGACACAGCACTTGGGGGGAGAGGGAGTCAGTTCTGGGCCCCCTGGTCCCTGTGCCCCACCCAGGGGTGCCCGGATGACAGTGAGACCCAGGTCTCAGCTCTGCGCACAGCAGGGGGCAAAGGCCACGGAGGGACGAGCAGGAGGTCAAGGCGGCGCGGCCCTGCCGCGGTCAGCAGGGGCGGAAGGCAGCCGGGCAGGGACCGCGCCTCAGTCCCACCGGACCTCGACGGGCGAGAACTTCCAGAGGTCGGGCTGGCCCATGTGCAGCAGGCCGCTGAAGGGCGAGGTGCTCCACTGGAACGGGGGTACCTGGTCCCACGTGGGGCCGCTGGCTGCCACGAGGCACAAGCCCTTGGCCAGGGCCCTGCTGGTCACCTGGGGGCGGAGCGGAGCGCCCAGCGTCAGCGCGGGCTGGGCTCCGCGCCGACCCGACCCCGGGGACCCTGGGGGGCCCCTGGCGCCCACCCACAGCCCAATTCCACCCCCACTGCTGCCCTGCCCTTGGCCTGGACCCCAGCCGTCCCGCCAGGCCCTCCCAGCCTCGGGGATGGCCCGCCCACAGCCCCGGGTGGGGTTGGCCCCCCCCGGGGGCCCCCCCAGCACCTTGACATCGATGCCGCCGTGGGAGCGCTGCTGCAGAGCCTGGAAGGGGTAGGAGCCGTTGGCCGGGTTGAGGTCGGAGCGGGCGGAGACGGCGTTCTCCCCGTTGGGCTGGGGGTTGCAGGCTTTGCACAGAGACAGGGGGTCGTGCAGGAAGTCGTTGTACCTGGGTGCGGGAAGGGAGGGGCTGTCCGTGGTGCTGGGAGGGGAGGCCAGGGAGGGGCCCAACTCCACCTGACACGGCCACCTGCCTCCAGTGAGCCCGAGTCCCCCCAGCACTGGGCTCCGCCGCCCCTCCCCACATCACCCCATCACCACTCCGACCTCCGACCTCCACTCAGGCACCCCGTGCACCGGATGCCCCTGGGCTCCTCCCCAGTCAGGCTGGAGACCCCCACCTTGTCCCCTTGGTAGCATTTCTGGGGGCTCAGGTGGCCCTCGTTACACACCGGCGTCCGCGTGAGTGCCTGAGGCTTCCCACGTCTCCGCGGGGCAGGGGGACCCCCGGGGACCTCGGGGGACACACCGGGTGCTTGTGTGTCCAGTACCAAGCACAGCGCCCAGCACGGGGCGGCCACTCCACAGCAGCTCGGTGTCCCCACCTGTCCCAGGACTCACGCTGGGCGGGGCCATCGCACACCCACCGTCACCCTGCCGGTCCCCGGGCTGGTGGTGAGGTTTAAATGGGTGGCAGCGCAGACCCCAGAGCGCTCGCTGCCCCCCACGCACCTCATCAGCCGGACCATGGAGGCCATGTCGTGCACCAGCGACTGGTTCCGCTGGAAGATCTGGGCCCGGGGGCTTCTGTCGTAGGAGAACCAGTCCCCGTACTCAGCCACCAGAGCCTGCAGCCCGCTGGCGTTGAACACGGTCTCGAAGGACCTGCCGGGGATGAGGACGGTCACTCACGACTCCCACTGGCCTCACTGGCCGTGGCCAGGGAGGCGGAGGGGCAGTCACACCAGAAGACTAGCATTAACAATTGTCGGGAGAGCAATAAAAATGTCTTCTGTTAGTGCTGGGGGGTGGCTCGGTGGGGTGGCCAAGCTGGGGCTCTGGGGGTCCGAGAGACACGGCTTCAGACCCTGGCTGTATCACTGACCAGTTGTGGGACCTTGGGAAGGTTAGGCACCCTCTCGGGCCTCAGTGTCACCGTCTGTGAAATGGGAACAGGAGCCGTGGCTGGCCCGTTGCAAGCACCAAATGACATAACCCAGGTAAAGCACGGTGAGTGGCAGGAGGGGTGGGAGGAGCGGCCCAGTTAGAGCAGAGCCAGCCGGGCAGCCACGGCAGGGTCGGCGCCTGAGACGGGCCACCCCATCGCCCTGCAGACTGGGAAGTCACGTGAATGCTGACCTAGGCCCCACAGCTGTACCACAGAACTGCCAGGGCCCTTCCCGCCCAGAAGCGGGTTGGGCGGGAATCACGTGGGGCAGCCCCTCCCTCTCTGGCACGGGGAGCTGAGTGCCGGGTGGGGCAGGGAGGAACACCTACGGGATGTTGTAGCTGGCCCAGTAGGTCTTCCGGTAGAGCTCCGAGGTCTTGTCGGCCACCACCACCATGCCCCTGGGACCGAGAGAAGCAGGGTGGGAGTGGTGAGAAGAGGGGCTCTCGGGGGCCCTGCCCTGCTCAAGGACCCCCCTGGCCGCTCGCTGCCTGGAGGTCAGTCATGCCCTGAACCTTGAGCCCCAGTCAGGGCTGCCCCCCCTTCCAACCTCACCTTCCTAAGGTTTCCCTTCCCATGCCTCCCGGCCTTTGCCTCCGCGGTTCCCTCCGCCTGGAGCGCCCGGCCCCCCTCGCCCAGGGGACTCACGGGATCTGCTCCAGGATGGTGAGCACCCTGCTCCCAGGGCTGGGCCCCCCGGGGACGAACGCTTTGTAGTCCACGATCATCCACTGGTTGTTGTACCTGCCGGGCCCAAGCAGGGAGGACTGAGCGGACCCCAGGGCCATGGCCCCGGCCTCCCCCTGCCCCCAGCGCCCCACATAGCCAGGGATCACAGGGCGTGGGCGGCCTGGGGGTGACTGGCCATCTGACTGTCCCTCTGGAGCCGCAGCCTCTGGAGGACTGCAGACCAGGTGTGCTCCAGCTCCTCTCTCAGCACACCGCCTGCTCCAGAGGACTCTATGGCTCCCCAGTGCCTGCTGCAGCAAAGGTCACTTCTGCCCCACATCCCGCGACCCTCGCTCTCCGGTTCCGGTGTCTCTGGTTCACAGGGCCCTGCTCCACCCACATGCGGCTCCTCGGACGGCCCTCCCCACTGTCCCCAGAGCTCTCGGGTCCCAAAGTCTCTTCCTGCCCTCCTGCTGGGGGCCTTCCCTGGGTGGGGAAGGCTGCAAGAGAGAGGCAAATGCTTTCCCTCCCCCAGCCTCAGTTTCCCCGTGTATCAACCAGGGGAGGCGGCTCTAATGAGAGTCCCCCACAGGGCTCTGCAGGGGGGTGCGGGGCAGTGGCTCTGGTGCCGCAGGAGGCCCCCCAGGGTCTGAGTGTTGGGGGGAGGCTGGTCCATTTCTTGGGTGGGGAGGCCACGGTGCCCGAAGACCACTCACGTGCCACTGTTGAACCTCCTGAAGACGTCCGCCCAGGTGTCCCCGTCCACGGCCAGGCGGTTGGCCACGATGTTGCGCACCCACTCCATCACAGAGCCCCCGGGCGTCACGTACTTCCACAGCGCCGGGTTCCGGTTGCCGATGGTGGTCTCCAGTGTCACCTGTGGGGGAGCCGCGGGGACGCTGCCTGAAGGGCCAGCTGACTTACACCCGGGCATGCTGCCACCAAGGGGCGGTGCTGCGTCGGCCGTAGCTCGCGGGTTGACTGGCAGCTTTAAAACCTCGCCTTCTGGTTCAGGGGCGCGTGCTCCCCGGTTCCCTGGATGAGCGCTTGGGGGGTCCACGCTCCCGGACCCGGCTCTGCCCTGGGGAAGAGCCCCCGAAAGGGCCCAGGGCACCGCGCCTATGCACTCACCGCCCCCAAGTCGGCCCACCCTTTCCCCAAAGAGACGGCGGCCCTCTCCTACCCCTTCCCTGCAGTTTTGCAGGGAACATTGGGTGGCCGGACGCTGCTGGCCCAGCGGACTACCATGATCTCCACGAGCTCACAGCCTCCCGGGGGGAAAAACACAGCACGGTCACTAGTGCCCCTTCCGGCTGCGAGGGAAACGGAGGGCCGGGCCGAGGAGGCTGAGAGACTCGCCAAAGGTCACGGCTGGTGAGAGGATGCGCCAAGATCAAGATCCGATCCCCGAACTTCCGGCTCCTAAATCGCTGCTTGTCCCCCACTACAGCAGGCTACTGGCGTGCTTCTCCCTGTCTCACTCAACGCGGGAAAACAGCTAAACGCAGGCAGCAGCCCTCAACGGGCTGTTTCAGAGAGGATCCCGGCACCTCGAGTGGAGCAGCCACGCCCGGGCAGGGCGAGCTCGGTGCCCCCCATCTTCCCGAGGGCCCTCAGCTTCCCCAGCCACCAGCCCAGTGAGACCTGCTCAGCCCCAGAGCCCCGGGGGCAGGGCGGGGCGGGGCGATGTTTCTCCCTCCTACCGCAGAGGAGCTCCTCCTCCGCGGCCGCAGGTGAGCGGGTGGGCGGAGGCGCTCAGGGAGTCTGCAGACGTGCCCGGGAAAACACGGCATTTTAACTTGCGCTAACGTCAAACGGCAGTTCTGCATCTCCTTCACCGTTAACGCGGGCGACACTCCACGGGCCTCGGCAGCACCCAGCAGAGACCGTCGCCATCAGAAGCCGCGGTCTCCCACCCTGTGACGGGTGCGTGCAGGTCGGAACGGCAGTGAGCAGGGCAGGCAGCACCTGCCGCCCCGGCGGGTGGCTTTACGTGCCAGTAAAGCAGCGCAGGTGTGTCGAGTTCTCGTAAACAACGTTTTGGCAAACGTGTTTCAGTATCCTGGGCCTCCTCTCCGATCCACGCACTGTGGTTCACACACTTAAAAACGTGCTTTCGGGGCGGGGCTCGTAGGTCCCCCACACAGCCAGAGGGGTCTGTGCACACAACCAGGTGAGAACCCGGGTGGCAGGTAAATGTCCCACCTGGACACCCCCCAGGTAACTGGAGTCAACCATTTCGGCTGTTCCTCCCCTACTGTCCCCACCCGGGACGGCGGCAAGGGGGTCCCCCCCCACACCCCGACCTGCTGCCTGGCCCTCTCACGCCTTTCAACGTAAGGCGCCCCACCCCACGCTCCCCTCAGACACTAGCAGAGAAGAACTCCCTGCCCCCACCTGGGAATCGGCTGAGCCTTCTGCTGGAGGGTTGTTAAAAGCCACGTTCCCCTCCTCCACAGTGTTGCCCTGGCGACCGCGGGGCCCGCTGCCTGGGCAAGGGGTGCCAGGGACAGATTTCTAAATGAGTTTGGACCCGGGCCAGAAAAACCAATAAAAACAACACATTGCAAACAACATTTATTCAGAAAACCTGGCCAGGTTAGAGGGGCTATGTGGGGGGGCAAGAGAGAAGGCCGTATTTCACAGCAAGGCCGTGGCGGGGGGGCAGCTTCCCCTAAATACTTAAGAACAAAACGAGGTCACTGAGGTCAAGGATGTTTCATAAGGACCTCAAGACGGGCAGTTTCTGAGGAGCTGTGTTACAAGGCAGAGTCCCAGGCTGGCCACAGGTCCTGGAGGCCCGGCTGGGGCCTGAGAACCTTCATTCAAGAAGCCCCACCCCATGTGTGGTATTGGATGGGTACTAGATTTACTGGGTGATCACTTTGTAAGGTATATAAACATCTAATCACTGCGTTGTACGCCTGAAACTAATGTAACGGTGTATGTCAACTGTAACTAGTCTTTTTAAAAAACAAGCCCCACCCAGCGGTCCGAGTAGCATCACAGGAAAATGTGTCTCGGACCAGGGGTGGCGGGCGGTGGGGGCCGCGCCCACGGGCCCGCCAGGGCTGCGGGGTGAGGAGCGGCCGGGGGAGAAGGGTGCGGTGGGAGAAGGGTGCCGTGGGAGGGGGACTCACCAGCCCGCTGCCCAGGACGTAGAAGTCGTCGCAGGAGAAGATGGTGCCGGGGTAGGACGAGAACGCCAGCGCGTTGCCAGGAGCCAGGGGAGAGTCCTCTGTAGGGGGACAGCATGCGGGCGGTGGGGGTGCTGCTCAGACAAGCCCGCGTGGGGGCCCCGCACCCCCACCCATCGAGACTCGGGAGGCCCCGGGCGGGGAGCAGCCGGCCTAGGAGGGGATCCCCACACCTTCCTCTCTGCTGTTCAGCAAACCAGGCGTTTGATGTGGGTGTGTGAAGCCAGTAGCAAAATACATATATATTATATATATATATAGTTTGTTTACTGGTGCTTCTATTGGCTTTGCTTTTTTCTTTATTACAAAGACCCATTGTAAAAAATACAATTCAGAGGGCAGTACCCGGAAATCTGAGAGCATGAGCTTTGTTTGGGGAGGAATCCTTGCCCCCAGCTTCATGGAGACATAACTGACAAAAATCGTCACTATTTAAGATAGTCAAGGTGATGGCTTGATCCCCTGTGAAATGATGCCTATAATCAGCTAACTGACACGTCCATCACCTCACTCGGCTCCCTCCTGGTGCGCACGGCGGGGACAGGCAAGACCTGCTCTCTGGGCGGATGTCAAGTACACGACACAGTTCTGCGAACCAGCCACCACACTGTTCCTTGGGTCCCCAGAACTTAACGCGTCTTCTCACCAGCCAGTGTCTCCCTTGCCCCCCACCCGGCCCCTGGCGACCACCGAACTACTCCCTGCTCCTGGGACCCCGACTTGTTTAGATCCTATGTGCATGCAGGTGGCACCTGCAGTATTTGTGGGTTCGTGTCTGGCTTCTTTCATTTACCACCATGCCCTCGAGGTCCAGCCACGTGGTTGCAAATGGCAGGATTTCCTTGTTTTTTAAGGCTACATAATACGCCTGTGTGTGTGTGTGCACACGCGTGTGCCTCAGAGTTCCTTTATCCGCTCACCCACCACCGGACACTTAGGTTGTTTCCGTATCTGAGCTACGGTGAATGGGGCTGCAACGAACAGGGGAGAGCAGGTATCACTCAGGTCCTGGTTTCCTTCCTTTGGGATAAACACCCGGAAGTGGGGGTGCTGGGTCACATATCGGCACGGGCCTCGGAGGGAGGAGACCCGGGTAGAATCTTGGCCTTAGTTTATTGATTCTTCAGCCCACGGCAAGTTCCTAACCCTTTCTGAGCCTCAGTCCCCTTACCTGGGGCGGAGGGAACCTTCCTGGGCGAGAGAAATGTTCTCTGTCATTACCAAACAGCTGTTACAAGATTGTACATGTTTGTCCAAATTCATCAAATTATCCACTCTAAAATGTGTGTGTAAACTATCCATCAATACAAGTAATCCAAAAAATATAATCGAACTTAATCTGAAATGTCATTTATCACCCACTAAAATGGCAAAAAATTCAAATGAACCATAACACCCAGTGCTGGCAAACCTGCGGCGAAAGTCGACACCCTCAGAGACAGACTGGCCCATCCTGTCCTGGAGGCAATTTGGTTGTATTTACCCAGAGACCACAGCTTTAACTGTGCCCATCTTTTAACCTGGCCTTTCCACAAGGAAACATCTCTGGCAGGGGAAGGGGGCTCATGCTCGCTGCAGCATTGTTCCAAACAGCAAGGCCCTGGAAATGGAAATGGCCCCCATCCTCAACTGGGGACACGTTAAGTTGAACACGCAGCTGTTAAAATGTGTCTCCTTACCTGTGAGGCTGGAATGTGTCATACACATACACAGTGAATGCATCACTGTGTCATACAAATAAGGGAAAGTGAATGGGAAATGGAGGGACTTTTTTTTTAAAAGTCTAGAGAAAACACAACCAAGTGTTCAGGGAAATGATCTCTTGTGGGCTGTGGGGTGTTCGCGGGATTCTCACTGCGTGTGTATGTTTTGCTGTAGCTTCCAATCTCCTGTCACAGACACGCATGACGTAGGTGGGTTTTTTCCAGAGACCCTGAAATGTTCATGGGCACGCGGCAACGCGAATGCTGGAGCTGCGGCTGCAGGCAGCCACGGGGGTGGCTCCCGCGGACACCCCGCTGGGCAGACGCAGACGGGCGCATCCACAGCCAGGCGAACCTACTCTGCGCTGGCTGTAAGAAGCCGGGACGGGCAGCACGCTGGGCTGCCAACAACAGTACCCGGCACGGGACGGGAGGGAAGCTTCTGGAGGCGGGGAACGCTCTGTTCCTCGCTCCGGGTGCCGCACGCAGGCGTGTGCTCACCGAGCACCAGTTCCAGCCACACCCTTAGGATGTACGTGCTTTCCAGTGAAAATGTCTGTTCGGAGGTTTGCTTAGATTTAAGTCAAGGGGCATTAGGCGGTCTCTAGACCACCACGGCAGGCGACATGCTTGTCCACGCCCCCTCTGCAGAACTGCCACATTTCTGTACAGACAGGTCTGAGCCCGGGAACCGCCGACCACAGGAGTGACAGCTCTCGAATTGTGTCGGAGGCCAGCCGGGCTCCTCTTCAAAGTGGCCGTGCCAACTCCTAGTCCCACGAGCACTGACTTCCCCGCCTTCGGGGGCGTGCACTTCCCCGCCTTCTCGCCACCTCCTGACAACGGTGGGTTTTAAGTCTGGCCGAGAGGGAGGCACCACAGACATCTGGCAGGGGCTACCTTGGGGCTTGGTCTGGGGTAGAGAGGCGGGGCACCGTGGGGTAGTGGGCCTCAGCTGCCGAGCTTTGACCTCTGACGGGAAGGGTGCCTTCGTGCCTTCCTCCTGTGGTTTGCGAGACCGGCTCTGGTTCTTCCCAGGCTTGCACCACACCACTGCAATGTGACTCTGCAGTTCCTCACGTCAGAGAGCGGGGTCTAGTCCCCCACCTCTCAACTCTGAGCGGCCACCTGACTTGCTTTGGGCATCAGGATGCTATGCCAGCTGTTTGGCTAGCCCTCGGGGGGCCTTCTAGGCTTCCCTGCCCAGGGGTCACGGGCACAGGCCTGAGCTAGCCGGCTGAGCTAGCCACGAAGCTCAGCTACCCCATGGTGCCGGCTGACAGCCAACCCCCGGGCCTAGGAATGAGGCCGTGCTGGGTCAGTCAGCTGGCCCCAGCTGACCCCAAAAGCATCAGTGAGCCAGGTAAGATCAGCCAGGTCAGGCCTCGGACAACACAGCCACCCAGCTGACCGGCAGACATGTGACCAAAGCAAATGGCTGTTTTAAGCTTTTGTTGTTTTAAATGCGGGGGGTGATTTGTTATGCTGCACTAGCTGACAGATACACCTTGTGAAATAAAAACCTAGAGAAAATTAACATGTTGAAAACAAGATAAGCCCTGGCTGGTGTGGCTCAGTGGACTGAGCCTCAGCCTACGAACCGAAAGGTCACCGGTTCTATTCAAGGTCAGGGCACGTGCCTGGGTTGCAGGCCAGGTCACCTGCTGGGGGACATATGAGAGGCAACAAGTTGATGTTTCTCTTCCTCTCTTTCTCCCTTGCCTCTCTCTAAAAATAATAAATAAAATCTTAAAAAAAAACAGTAAGATGAGCTGTTAGAATGCTCCTACAGTGACCGTGGTGTGTCCTAGCAGGCCCCCTCCCCGCCCCGTGTGCCCACAGCTGCTCACACACGGATGCACCCACGTCCACCCACCTTGGGGGCCTTCCCGGAACTGGAACTGGTACTTCTTGACGATGCGCAGCATGTTCTGGTAGGAGTTCCAGGTGTTATGGGCGACCAGGAGGTCGCTGTGGCCGGGCAGCAGCTTGATGAGGGCGGAGCAGGAGCCAGAGCCCAGCGTGTGCCTGGCCTTGGTCTTGTTCAGGGCCAGCTCCAGGTCTTCCAGGTCCCCGGAGAGCTGCAGCAGGCTGCAGAGGCCGGGGCGTCGCAGGGTCAGCACCCTGCTCCAGGGCTGTCTCGGACCCACCCACCGTGCAAAGGGCGACGCTCAGCCTCTGGGGGTGCCGGGCGGTCGGTCTGAGACCACATAGCCGGGAAGTGGCAGGGCCAGCCCTGGGGCGCGGGTCTGACTGACTCTGAAGTGTCTGGCCCTCTCCCCACCCCCGTCTGCTCCGGGGGTGGCACTCACAGGAATCCCAAGGGTTTGATGGTGAACTTCCCGGTTGGAAAGGCCACGCTGCCTTCATAGCTGTCCTCGAGGCCTTTCAGCTGCAGCAGGGTCAGCCGCACCTGGGGAGGTGGCAGAGGGCAGGGGGTGGAGGGAGGGTGAAGCCTCTCCCCCAGGCTCGCACCTTCTCCTGCGGGGGCGAGGGCCCGGCCTGGGGGTCCAGACGGAACAGGCCCAGGTCACCCTCCAGGCTCCCACCAGCCCTGACACCCCCTTACACCCCATACTCGTCCACATCAAGCAGCTTCCTGCCTTCAGTTGATTAACTGTATGCCCCTGCCCTGTGCCGGCTCCTAAGTCACACCCACTTAAGAGTCTAGCTCAGAGCCACCTCCTCCAGGAAGCCTCCCAGGCCATTCTGAGTTTAGCTACTGGCTGCGCTGCTGTGTCAGGGCACCCGTCTCATGTGGCTGACTCCTCCCCACGGTGACTGTCATAGTTCTGTAACCATGGAGCAGCATCGCTGCGTCCCCACAGGGCCTCGGCCTGCGCTGGGTCTCCACCCAGCTTATTAAGGGCCCATGCTTATTAAGGCAGGCCCTTAATAAGCATCTGCAAGGTGGATGGCGTGTGGCGGAGTGGATAGGGTGAACAGATGGGTGAATGGGTAAGTGGGTGAGGGTGTGAGCAGGTGGGTGGGTGAACAGTGAGAAACTCTACTTAGCGACAGGTGCGCACCTGGCCCAGGTGGGGTGGAGGTGCCCACAGTCGCAGACAGCCACTTTCTGGAGGCTGCCGGCGGTGTGTCCTTCACCGTGAGACTCTCGCGGTGTTCCTCGGAATCCACACATGAATGGCTTTGCTGCCGGCCCGGCCAGGGCCCCAAAGGCAGGGCATCCTCCCTGGGTCTCCCCACTAGTCGGCAGCTCCCTCGAGCAAAGGAGAACGAAACTCCCGGGTGTTCTAGCTCTCCCTTTTCCCTTTCTTTTTTAGAAAGACTGTTTTCTGATGTGATCAATCAACCAAGCCCCCTCCCTCCTGTGCAAATAAAACAGCATGCTGACAGTGAACTACAGCGATTCTTTGACCGTAAGGGGCAGAATGGGCTGGGGAGACAGGCAGGCTAGGATGGGCGGCTGGAGTTCCACCGGACGGGCAGGTGGATGGATGGATGGAAGGAAGGACAGGTGCAGATTGAACAGACAGATGAACGGCAGGTCAGCTGGGAGGGATGGAGACAGCGATGGACCCATCAAAGGGCTGGCCACGAGGGGCGGGGGACAGAGGAATCACCGGCTGGAAGAGCAGCAGCCCCCATGGTGGCAGGTCCCCAGAGTGGACCCAGCCCTCCGCCCCGCCCCACCGAGCATGGCAGCCACACCCACCTGGTGCCAGTAGGCGGAGTCCTCGTTCAGCTCCATCTCCCTCTGCATCCACTCCAGGTTGGCCTCCAGGAAGCTCTTGAGCTTCTCACAGTATCCGACTTCGTACTCAAAGGGGCCACAGTAGTTCACCACCGTGTTCATCCAGTGCATGTAGATGAGCTGCGGGGCGGGCAGGGCGGGCGAGGTGGGCAGGGTGGGTGAGGGCAGGGTGGCTGGGCTGGGCCCTCTCTTCCCTGAGGGCCCCATACGCTCCCCGCTCCCCACTCAGGCTAAGAGTCCTCACCCCCACCCAGGTCTCCAAGAGCTGGGAGTCCTGATGAGGCTGCCTCTGCGCCTTTGCCCCCGCTGATTCCTCTCCCTGAAGGCTTTTCTTGCCCACCCAGCTCTCACCCCAACAGGGCCTGACACCTCTGGGCATCACCCTCCTCTGAAAGCCCTTAGCGTTCGCGGTCTGCCCTAGATGACGCCTCCTCTGTTACTGGGGTCCCCCAATCTATCTAAGTGTCCACTAAGTCAGTCAACACGGCACAGGCCTGGCCCGGGGTCTGGCCACCTCCACAGCCATCAAGGCGCCCCAAACGGCCACCGGGGTTCGGAATGAGGAGTGTGGCTTCTATGCAAGGCTGTCACACTGCACGCTGTCCTCTGTGACATGCACTCTCTCTCGCCACCATGCATCTCAGGCTCACCCACGGTGCTCGTTCCCTTTCAGCCTCTGGCACGCCGCACTGTGCAACAGCGCAGTCTCTGGGGACCCGTCCCCCGGCTGGTGGCACCTGGCTGCTCCCACCTCAGGACGACTTCGAGCACCTCCTGCACACCCTCGGGTCACCATAGGGACTGGGGCATGTGCGTGACTGACTCTGCAAGCCGATGCCAAGTTGTTTTCCAGAGTGGGCGCCGGACGGTCCCACCGAGGCCCCACCTACATCTGACCCCGTCCGACTTCTGACATGTGTGACGCTCACTCTCGTGAAGTTCCAGGTCAAGCACAGCAAAATAATACGTCGTCTAAGGATCCATCGCATGCTGTGGAGCTAGCTTAACCGAAGGCAGGGAGTGGACACAACTCAAACGTCCACCCACTGATGAATGAGTGAATGAGTGAATGAATGAAACAGCATGCTTTGCCCCGGACCACTGTCCGGCCATGGAAAGGAACGAGGTGCCGACACCTGCTACAAGACGGATGAGGCCTGAACACGTGACACTCGGCGAACGAAGCCAGCCACAAAGGACCAGATATTGTAGGAGTCCGTCCCTTGAAGGTAACAAGAATGTTCTGGAATTAAATAGTGGTGACAGTGGCACAACCTTATAAAGATATTTTAAAAGCCGCTGACCTGGACACTTTAAAATAGCGAGTTTAACGGCACATGAGTTGTATCTCAACGTCGATGACTGGCGGACTGAATGGGAATGGAGCCCCCACATTTAGGGCGGTGGCGGTGGGGGGGTGGTGCCTCTGGCGGAAAGGGAAGCAGGGGGATGGGCTTGGGAGGGGGGCTTCAATAACATCAGTAACATTCTAGGTTTCTGTTTGGGTGCTCACTTTAATATTGTGCTTCGTAACTTGGAATAGGTGATGGTTTTTCTATATGCATGAAATAGCGCCTCGTGTGAGGCGAGCACGTGAGCTTTTCTCCCCAAATAGATGAAGGGCAGGGGGTGGGGGCGGGCAGCCGGCTCTGCGCATAGCTCAGTACTCTCCAGAGCTCCCTGGGGAGCACGTTGGGTGGGGTGAGTGGGGGGGACGGGAGCCCCAACGTCCCTGTCTGGCCTTACCTCCTCGGACACGGCAGCCTCCACCACCCCTGCTGCGTAGGCCTGCAGGCTGTCATTGTGGCGGCCATCCGTGTGCAGCTCCAAGAAGGCCCACCTGGAGAGGGAGGAGAGGGGACACTCGGTCAGCACGGGGACAGGTGCAGAGCTGGCGCTCAGCTCGGCACACGGCCGTTTCCAGGGTCCAACCGTCATAAACCACAGTGACAAACTGCCTTCCACGGGACGGCTGCCCGTCTGTCTCTGTGCACGTGTCAGGCTGAACCCCTCGAAGAGGAACTGCTGGGTCAGAGGAACGTGCATTTTTCACTGTAATGGCTACTGGCAAGCACCCGCCCCCCAAAAGCTGTGCTAACCTTCCCCCACCCCACAGTAACGCCAGCTCACATCTCTTGAGGTCTTCTGCCGTGCCAGGCGCCGTGCTAGCCACTCACACACCTATTAACGCTTGAATCCTCGTGATAGCCCTACAGAGTTGCACCGTCATGCACTCGTCATACAGTACAGACGGGAAGAAATTCAAGTGCAGAGCCACGTCACTGCTGTGTAGAAGGCACTGCTGCCCGCTCTGCCCACGTGTATCCATGCTCTTTGCTGGGACACTCTGCAGTCAGTCCTCACCGAGAATGACCAAGTGTCCTTCTCCGCCTCTTTACTTTGGGCTCGGTCATGCCACATGACTTTGGCCACATGGAATCAGGGTCGTGGGTCGAAGTGACCGTGCCAGTTATAACACTGGCCTTGCAGAGGAGACCTGCACTTCCACCGGACCTCTTGTGCCTCTGCTGTCACCATGCAAAGACCATGCCCTGGCCAGCCCACGGGACCCCGGAAGGTGAAAGACACACAGAGTTGACCGGGTCTGCAGACCTACAGCACAAAGCAGAGTTGCCCCCACTGCCCCCTAGGGGTAAACGTGAGGGTAAACAGTTGCCATTTTAAGCCACCAGGTTTGGGGAGGCAGTTTGTTACACAGCATGGTTGCCCAGTACTAGCTGATACACCTGCCCAAGGTCAGGGAGCTAGCAAAGGGCAGAGCCAGGATGCAATTCTAGGCAGGCCAGTCCCCGCTCCTCCTGGGAAGTCGCACTTCTCACACTCCCACGTGCATGTGGGCCACTGGAAGTCCTCGTGAGGAAGCCAGTTCTGACCAGGACGTCTGGGGTAAAGCCCCAAATTCTGTATTTCTACCTGCCAGTCTCGGAGCCCCACCAGGGTACGTGCTGCCTTTCTGCAATGTACAAACGCCGGTCTGCCCACTTTCTTGCTTAAAATGATTCCTGTCAACCACTTCCATCTTTGCTAAGGTGACAGTTACAAAACTCAATCATGTTGCTTCAATTATAGTCCCATAATTAGTTGTGACATATATTTTCTTATTTTTATTGGTCCTGTATAGTTCTTTGGTTCAGTCCTCTGTCCATTCCAGGTGAAGAGAAGAGGCAGGTGCCTGACCCCACCCTTCGCACGCTGACAAAGTCACCCCCAGGCCAGCAGTTCTGCTGCCCGGGGCCCAGCCTACCCAGAAGTCTCTCTTTCACCTCACCGCTGAGTTCTCCAGAGGGTGCCTTTGAGGGCCTCAGTGTCCCAGATATAAAATGGGGCTTCCGACGTGGTTTCTCCCACATCACAGCCCCAAGTGCTGGCAGACTCCTGGGGAAAGGGCATGTGAGTCTGAGAGGAGGCAATGAGAGACCGGACAGAAGAGATGCTGCAGTGGCAGAGTGAGAGCGAGAAGGTGGGAGAGACCTGGGCTCACACCGCAGGCCTCAGTTTCCCCATCTGCAAAGGGGGCAGAGGAGACCTGCTCCCGCCTCTCTCACTCCTTCCTTCAGCAAATAAACAGAGGTGCTTTCTGTGATCCCACTGACTTTCCCGAGAAGCTGCACCCTCAGGCTCAGGAGAAACAGGCTCAGAGGGGCGCAGTGACCTGCCCACAGTCACGGAGAGGTGGAGCTGGGCCTGCAAGAGCCTCCCCTGGGCACAGTCAAGGAAGCTCTCGCCCCACTTCTGTTTTCCAAAGCAGCGCAGTGGGGGCCTCCTGGGGCCACAGTCCCCTCCCCGGCTGGGTCTCCCTTCTGAGCTTCCTCCTGTACCAGGCATCCGGGCAGAGCCATGTCATGCCCTCTTGGCTCAGCTAAGCAGGGCCAAAGATGTGTGTGAGTCAGCAGAGAACGGGTCACCAGATACGAGTGTCACGGAGCCACAGAGCTCTGGTTCCCTCCATCGGTGCCAGCCAACCCTGTGGCCTCCTCTCCCTGGGAGCCTTCCCAAATTAGCTCCACCCAGCTCCTGTGTCTGCAGCAAACCCATCCCCCCAAATTTCCCTTCTCTCTGATACCCTCCCAAGTGCCACAAAGCACCAGAATGAGGATGGTCTCCCCAACACCTGCAGGAATTAACGCATGCCAGCAAACTGGAGGTGGGGGCGGTGGCCATGCCTGCAGGCCACGTAGTTTAAGCACAGGGATAAGCCCAGGATGGGACGGGACGCTGAGTTCCCGGAGACCCCCAGCAAAGCCCAGATCCAGCACCAGGGCCCCGCTGACAAGGTTAAAGGCCACTTCCCCACTCCCACTGACTCAGGATCCCCCCTCTGGAACTGTCTCCCCCACTGAATGGGGAACCCCCACCTGCTCATTCCTGTGTCCCCAAGGCCAAGTAAACCAGGTGGCTGAGTGAATGAACGAATGAATGAATGGGCCCTGGCCCTGGCACAAGGCCTGAGAGGGGTACCACCAAGCCCCCAGCCAGAGCACATCCTCAAAATCTGGGCCACAGGAAGGGAACTGGGAGTGAGTCCAGACAGATGGAGGAGTTAGATGAGAATCACGCAACAGAACAACAGTCCCAGTGAGAAGGATGGTGACCCTGACTGCCAAGGACGGAGCCCTGGGCTCCATACCACGCGTCTGGGGACCAGGAGAGAAGGGAGGGAGGAGTGAGCCCAGGCAGTGACTTTCTCAGGGTCTCTGTGAAGTTAGGAACCCTCTGTTTTCTGACTGGCCTGTAACTCAGGCTCAATCCTGCTACCCTGATTCTGGGACAGAAGCAACGGACTGGTACTAACCCTTGCTTCATGGGGCAAAATACAACCAAGAAAGTTTTTCTGGAGAGTTCACAGCCCCACAGGCCCCGGCGGTGGGGAAGTGAGGAATAGGGCAGGGGGACTGGCCTTGGCAGGAACAGAAGTTACTGCATCACCCACCGGCCACAGACCCATCCTGGAGGGGGGTACCGGAGGGGCGTACCACGGCCCTGATGACAAGGAACCGGTTTCCAGGGAGACAGAGGCACTGTCACACCAGGCTAAAAGGAACTGGTCCCCCCATGAGTTGAGGGATGCTGCATCGGCTCCCGCCCTACCAAGGACCCGGTCCAGATGGAGGTGCTGCATCCTCGGACGCGGGAAACGGACCCCCAGGAAGACAAGGGCACTGTCACCGGCAAGAGGTTTGTCAAAGGGGTGAGGTGAGGACGGGCGCACACGCCACCCCGACTGGTGCTGCTGGGAATCGGGTCAAGCCTTACCCGGTCTCGCCAATGGCGTTGGTGAGATTGGCCCAGGCCACGGCGTCCGGGTGGCGGCCATCCACCAGACGCAGCTGGCCGGTCCCGGCGTCCAGCAGCACCGAGCGGCTGCGGGAGGCGGGTGGGTCCGGCCCGCCAGGCCCCCAGGAGGCCTTCGGGGTCGGGACTGCGCCCGTCAAGCCGCTCAGGAACAGTCCGACCAGCAGGGCCAGCGCCCGCGTCAGAGCCAGGGCCAGACGGGCGCCGGGGGTGACGCACCTCGAGGCCACCATCTCTGCGTGGAGCCGGGCACCGCAGCCCGGCAGACGTGACTGCACTCCGCCGCGCGGAGCTGAGAGTGCAGAGGCCGGGGGGGTGGGGGGGGCGGGGGGGGCGGGGGGGGCGGGGCTTGAGCCAAGCTCTTCCGGGTGGGCGGGGCCCGGAGTGTGACGTAGAGAGACGGGGACCCATCTTAAAGAGCCCGGCACCCGTTCCCCTTCGAAAAACCTGCCTAGCACACTTCCCCCAACTATTTTTCAAAATTTCAAACACCGGGCAAAGTAGCAAGGAGGAGAATAAATACCCATGTTTGCCATCAGTTGCTAATATTTTGTTACACTTAATCAATTTATATATATATTTTGCTCAACCATTTGAGAGTTCATTGAAGGCATCCTGACTGTCAACCCTAAATCCAGCAGATAGATGTACGGTATCTCATAAGAGAAGAGACATCACCTTAATTAACCACAACATACCATTGTAACAGTCAGGAAATTTACCATTCCTTTAATACTATCATCTAATACAGGGTTTTATTCAAAGTTTTCCAAATGTCTCAAAAATGTTCTCTATTTCTTTTCATTTCTTTTGGTCCAGGATCCACTGTTCACACAATACACAAGAATAAACTTCTGAATGATGAGAATCTAAACGTAAAAATCAAACTGCAGTACCAGAAGAAAATATGGGTGAACTCCTCCATAATTTATTTGTGGGGAAAGGCTTTCTAATTATGACTTAAAATGCAGATGCAATAAAAAATTAATACATTTGACAACATAAAATTTTCTTTAACTTCTCTATGCCCAAAGCACCATAAGCAAAGTCAAAAGACAACTGACAAATGGGGAGAAATTATTTACACCATATACAGAAAGGGCTAGTATTACTAGTCTATGAAGAAGTCTTTAAACCTGAGGCGGGGGGTTGAAAACCAAATAGAAAAATGGGCAAAAAATATAAACAGACAACTTGTGAAAAAAAGAAGTAAAAATGACTCTTAAACTTATGGAAAATGATTGCTTCATTCACTATAAGAGAAATGCAAATTATAGCTCCCTGAGGGTAAAAGTTCATAATAAAAATATACACTGAAAACAAATGAGTTCATATAAAACTGGTGAGATCTGAATGAGGTCTGTAATTTAGTTAAAAGTTATAACTAACTGTGTACGGTGCCAGGTGGTTACTGGAAATACCATGGGAACACTATGTAAAGTACATGATTATCTAACCACTAAGCTGTACACCCAAAACCAATACAAATAATATTTGAAGTAAACTGTAATTTAAAAATAAAAATAAAACATTTATAGTATGTTTGATTCTTCCACCCATTAAATTTTATTTGGTATACAGTGAAAATTTAAAAAGAATAATTTAAAGCCCTGTTTAAAGCCCTGGCTGGTGTGGTTCAGTGGGTTGAGCGGCAGCCTGCAAACCAAAAGGTCGCGCCTTCAATTCCCAGTCCGGGCACTTGCCTGGGTTCCAGGCCAGGTCCCCAGTTGGAGGTGTGCGAGAGGCAACCAAGCGTCGTTTTTCTCGCACATCGATGCTTCTCTACCTCTCTTAAAAATAAATAAAATCTTTAAAATAATAACAATAATATTTTTTTAATGTTAAGTATTGTATTGATGTCAATTTCCTGGTTTTGATCATTGTACTCTGGTTATGTAGAATATTGTCATTGGGAGAAACTGGGAAAAGGCTACAAAGAAATTGTGCTACCTTCAAAAAAAAGTATTTAAGGAAACCACACTGAAATATCACTTCTCACTTCTCACATCAGAAAAAAATTACAAGCTTGCGCATATACTCTCCGCTGAGCGCAGGAAAGCGGTGCGCATGCGTCACAGGTTGGCGTGCGGATTGGAGGGGAAATGAGTAACGTCTAAGAAAACTGCGCATGATTTTACTTTCTTTTTAAAAATATTTTATTTATATTTAGAGAGAGGGGAGGGAGCAAAGAGGGAGAGAAACATCCATCAGTTGCCTCTTGCAAGCCCCTAACCTGGAGCCTGGCCTGCAACCCAGGCATATGCCCTGACTGAGAATTGAACCAGCGACGGACTTACACTAGTCAAGGCTGATTTTACTTGCCAACTGTGCAATCCCACTTTTAAATATCAATGCACAAAATTACCCACTGCAGCATTGTTGGTAATTTTAAAATATTGGAAATGTTCTGAAGGCCATAGAGAGATAATTCACTAAATAACTGTGGAACCTCCATACGAAGCAACACTGTACAGCTGTGAAAACTGAATTAGCCCTGGCTGGTGTAGTTCAGTGGATTGAGCCCAGGCTGTGAAGCAAAAGGTCTCCAGGTCGATTCCCAGTCAGGGCACATGGGTCAGGTCCCCAGTAGGGGGCACTCGAGAGGTAACCATACGTTGATGTTTCTCTTCCTCTCTTTCTCTTTCCCTTCCCCTCTCTCTAAAAATAAATAAATAAAATCTTAAAAAAAAACTCCTTAAAAACACTGAATTAAATGACTAAAACACAGCATTAATTGGAAAAAGCAAACCCCGCCAAAATTACATATCGATGCTATCTTTTGTGTCAGAAAGAAAGGAAAATGAAATTTACTAAAATCTTCTAACTTCTGCAAAAAAAAAAAAAAAAAACCACAAGAAGAATAAACCAGAAACTAGCAAAATTGGTTCCCCAGGAACACAGGAAAGAACAGAGTGGTGGAAGGCGAGAAAATGACACATCTCTGAGTAGCACATCTTTCTGTAGAGTTTAGACTTTTGCAAATATGTTAATATGTTGCATTGTAAAAAAAAAACCCCTCAAATCAACAGGATGGGGAAGATCCACAAAAATGAATATGAACAGAAATAAATAAGCCTAACTTATTTTAAATAAATAATATAACCCACACTGAACGAGTCTTCAACTCTAGGTCATCGGTTTGTTCTTTCCAAATGCTGTGGGTGCAGCAATGCTGAAATGATCCTCTGTGTATTGGGTGTAGGCGTTGAGCAAATAAATAAATAAATAGAATGTTGATTTGGGGCTCAGGTTTATCTCTAGAGGATAAAGGCCTCAGAAGGCTGTTGTGACCTTGGGCTGGACGTGAAGGCGTCCTTATGAGCTCACGGTTTTTCATGTCTGTAGGTAGGAATCTGGGAGCATATTGACATACGTGTTATGTTCCAGCTCTGTCCACGGAAGAGGGCCCAGGAACAGTGACCCCTCGGTGACCATGAGCACGGCTGACACCCAGATCCTGATTCCCACTAAAGGGAGCCCGAGCTCCCGGAGGCAATGGCTGACTCCAGCTGGGCCACGCAAGACAAGCCTGGCACGGCTCGCTGAGCCCCAAAGCTAGGAGATACTTCAGGAAGGATGGAGACGTGTCAAAAGGGCCCGGAGCTGGCTCGAAGAGGCCCCCACTAGGACCAGGTGAGCACAGAAATAATAAGAGTAATGCACTTAGAAGCGCTGAATGAAATAAAAACCCACGAGCCACCCTGAGAATGCTGGCACCTTGACCTTGGGCTTCCAGCCCCCAGAGCTGTGAGAAAGAAATACCTGTTGTTGAAGGTCCCCAGTCTGTTATATTTTGATGCAGCAGCCTGCGCTGACTAATAATTAACCCATGGCTATGTTATAGGGTAATTCTTTATTTAGCATTTTCAGGAACTGCCAAACTCTTTGTCAAAACAGCTGCCCACTTCACATCCTCACTGTTGAATAAGGGTTCCATTTCCTCCACATCCTCACCAACACTTGTTACTACATTTTACGCCATGGCCATCCTCATGGGTGTGGAGGAGTATCTCCTGGGAGAAATGTCCTTTCACAGCCTTTGCCTGTTTTGTAATGGATTATTTGCCTACTCCTTATTGAGTTGTAGAACGGACAGGGTGACTCAAGAGTTAAAGATTTCAGCTTTAGTCAAGGTTCAGAGGCTTAAGTGATTAATGCTGTGCAGAGCTGTGCTTCTAGGCACTGGAATGCAGGACCCACCTGACTCCAGGAGGTGAATAAGCAACTCAACCTCGGTGCCCCAGGGAGCTTGCAAGCCGCAACAACAACGGAGATGGTATCTTAGCCATTGTGTGCGTGTGTGTGTGTGTGGGGGGGGGGATGTCCCTGAAGCAGATAAAGAATTGTTGATCAGCAGACAGAGAAGTACTAGGAAAATCACCAGCTAGACTGCAGCTCTTATCTGATTAACCTTTTCCCAAACCCTTCCCCTCCCCTTTCCTTCTCGCTATAAAAAGGTCAGCTTGGGATGAGGTGCTAATATGGTTTTTGAGGGTCTGTAACCTGCCGTCTTCTCAGGTTTCCCGCATCTGAATAAAGCGCCTGTAATGATTCAGTCCTTGTCTCTACTTATTGGTTCTGGTAGTGACAGGCAGCACGAACACTGACTTTTCCAGTTTCAGGAGTTTTGTTTTGTTTTGCTTTGTTTTGTTTTGTTGTTTGTTTTTTTTACATATGCTAGATACAAGCCCCTTATGAGATCCACAACTGGCAAAATGTTTCTCCATGGGGGAGTGTGGAGCTCAGTAGGCCGTTATGGGACTCAGCGTTGTGACCGGGCCCCTCTGGCGGCGGTGGGGATGACGAGGGCAGAGGCAAGCAGGTGGTGAGGAGTGTCCAGCAGCCGCCACAGCACTGAGACCAGGGTGGCCGTGGAGGAGGAGAGAAGCGGTCGGGCTGCCGGCATCCGGTGTTCATCATTCTCAGGGGAGGACTCGCTCAGAATGGCTGCGGGGGCAGAGACAAAGGCTCCAGAAGGACCCCAGTGTTCCTTGGCCTGAGCGCCTGGAGGATGGGGTGGCTGCAGAGATGGGGCGGGGGAGCAGGATGGAGTATAAGGGAGGTCCCCACAGAGTTCTAATGAATGCGTCCACGTGTCTTCAGGATGGTCTCAAAGCGTATGAGAGCCTGTCCGCACCAGCTTCGTTTCCTCCCCACACTCCCCTGCACAGCCTCCAGCCCCAGAGCCGGTGAACCACAAGGAACACAGGGGCTGCAGGGGCAGGAGGGCTGTCCCTTTCTTCTCAGAAGCCTGAAGAGGTAACATAACTGATAGCCAGGAGAGGGACAAGGTCAGGGCCAAGTG